AGGGTTTAAACCTTGGTTCAGGGGAACTTAGATCAGTTAATGAACTCAGTTCACAGTCAAATGAGTTTTTCAATATCGACTCAACAGCAGTTCTGTTAAACTTATATCAGCGGTGTCAACGTTAAGTTGGTACAACCGAATTTAGTATACGCCTACATTAATAGTAGTTAAAACTGCCATTTTGACAAAAGGATTTTGTGTTTACTTTTGGAGTTTTGTTTATCTGTGCTGTTTTAAAAAGTTATAATCTGTGCGAAAGGGTGCTTTAAAACAATTTACTATTTTAAAGAACAATAATTATTATTTTTTATGGATAAAAATCGTGCTGCCAACTTTCCCCCTTTTAAGGAGGAATTATTTGTATGTATTTCGTTTTATATTATAAAATGAATTCATCATTAATCCACCTTTCAAAATGATTCGGTCTTACCCGTGGCCTATGCACACGAAGTTGAATATTATTTAGGAATTCGCCAATTTCCTCATCATCCTTACTAACTACCTCAAACATATCCATTGGTTTATTATAACAGCAGATTACAAAACAAGAAATAAACAACGTAATACACAATAAAGCAGAGAAAAATTAAGTCAAGTTGAACTTCGTTTAAACGGCCAACAGTGACAGTTCATCTTTTGATTTAGTTTAAACCAAATTCAAGCTTGAACTTTGATTGAAAAACGGCATATTTTGTTTGAACCAAGTTCAAATGCTGAACCAAGTTTAAACTATGATTGAAAAACCGGCCCTTAATGTTCTCGAACAATACTTGTTTTTTAGCTATCCTTCGTCTTCGTTCGTACACATTTGGTAGCGCAGTCTCATCAACCAATCCGTGACAGACGACATGTTGCACTCTCATCCTCATACTCATATTCATTCAATCATACGGTAATTTTCGATTTTTTGATTTTTTTCAATATCCTTTCTACTCTTGGAAAAATCATTATTAGTTAAAAATGTTAAAATGATTATAAAGAATTGCGCCGTGGGTTAAAATTTCTTAAAACCCAGACCTTTAAGCAAATTTCTGGCTTCTAATTTAGCGTACCAAAATACTTACCATTTTTAGTTTTTTTAATTTAAATTAGGTTTTTATTAAGATTACAAAATGAGTTGTGGAAGTGTTTTTCTCTCGGATTGGTCGTAATGTTATTCGATCCAAAAACCGTTTCAACCTAAAGGCCTGATCGTTTTTATGCTAGAGTCTGCGCAATATATATCGTTTAAAAGATAACATACGGATCCAGAAGGGTACCTTATGATAAAGGAGATATTTTATAAAAATATTTAGCGTTAATTAAATTTTTTTTTGTATCTGACTTTTTATGAACTGAGGGCCGGTTTATCAATATCCAGTTAAAGTCGCAGTTAGTTATCTAGCAGATAATCTCCATGGATACCATTGTTCTCATAACGATCGATATAGAATTTAACTGTCAGATAGACTAACTGGAACTTAACCAAATATTGATAAACCGGCCCTGAAGAAGCTTAATTTACCACATTTTAATTCAGTACCACGGAATGTTCGCGCTGTTTGATGATAAATTAACAAATACTTGCTTGGAGTTAATTAAATAAAAATTCTATTTAACTTGTGTAATACAATAATGTAATTTCGTGTCTAATTTACATACCTACTACGAAATATTCGTGAACAGATTGGAGTTAGGTATATTCAAACCCCTTGTTGGCGAGAATTAAAGACATAACCACGCTTATGTCAGAATATACTTTATTAAAAAATTGCCTTAGATTATGTAAGATTTAAAGTTATATTACAATCCTTTAAACGCAAACATTCCAGATAAACTTTTGTTGTTGCTTAAAGTTCCGTGATGTAATTCAACTCTAAAGTAAATTGAAGGAAATAATAATAACTTTCAAAACATCCAGAGGTTATCTAACTTTATCTCGTCAAGTTAATCAATAATCAAAGTTAAGTCAGCAGGTGCTTTATTTTATCTTTGAACTGCACATATTACGTTGTTGTTTAAATTTGCATAATAAGTAAAAGGTACGTGTCCCACACAAGTCTTAAAACTGTAGGTATATGAACAAGGATTTTAAGCTTTACAAGAGTTACCAACATAATAAGGTTAATGGAACCGTGAGAACTGGCCTATTACTTCGTCACCGTGCTTTTGCTTCAAACGTCCTACACAAAAAATGCACCGACAGATATAATGTTTCGGTCTTATTAGACCTCATTAGTGCCGGATAGCGATGGTGTGTAAGCATACTTAAAACACTATGACAGCAGTGTTCTGTCCTTTGGACGGTAAATGGGGCTAATTACCTTTTGCTCACCGCTGTCGCTGTACCTGTTGCTTATAAGGGGAAGGCAGTATGATTATACACCACGACTATCCGGCACTGATGAGGTCTAATAAGACCGAAACAGGCTGTCTCTCGGCAATACACATTTGGTTGAAAACCATGTTTGACGCAGTCAATGGGACGATTTGTTTTATTTATTTTATATCTCCACTTATCCATTATTTCAAGAAATAACTGAAATTTACAAAGTGTATCCGTTATTTCAAGTAATAACTGAAATTTACAAAGTGTTTTAAAATGTCATTTTAATACTGAAAAGTATTAATCCATTTTTTCAGTTCAAATAAAAAAATCTTTGTTTCTACTTTATTGGGTTGGACTTATATCTTCATATAGAACAGACGTGCACTTGAACGCTATTAAGTGTACCTTATCATAATAAAAGTCTTAAAGAAATGTTAAATAGGTCATATACAGTGTAGCTCAGTGCATTAAATAATCTTTCAACAAGAAAAATACTGTGCGAAATTAGTGTCACTACTTGTGCAGGTGAAATCACTGTACCTGTCCCCTGAAGACTTAATAAAAACATTAAATCGCTCATATATAGTGTAGTATGCAATCTTCCAAAAAGTGAAAATACTGTACGAAAACAGCTACAGTACCTGTGCAGGTGAATGCAATATACCTGTCCCCCGATGAAGACAAACCACGAGTATCAAGTGGATCACAGCAATAAACGATAAGTAACATAGCCTAAAACCTCATGAATTAATTTGCATCCTTTTATAAAAAGTAATCTTGCATTTCACATGAACTTTCACGGATGGTCCTATCAAAGCATCCAAACCAGCGACAGGGAACCGTAAAACAATCTAGTAATAAAAAAAATAAACCTAACAGCAAACTTAAATTTTTTGTAATAGAAATTGGTACAAAACATTCTTAAACTAGCAGCAAAGCAGTGCGGTTTGCTTTGTTTTTTGTAGAAACCTTCAATTTTTTTACTCATAGTCTTATTTAACGTAAGTTTATAGTCGAATTATTTAATTTGATTATTTAATTTGATCCTTTGGATATACTATACTAAAAAATAAGTTTGACAGATTTCCAGAATTTATCCATAATGTAAAATAACCTTTTTAATTAGGTAGTAAATGTAGTAAATTGTATAACATTCCAGTACTTGTAAAATGCTGATTAATTAAGGTAACATAAACATAATTGAATATGTCATGAAAATGAAAAAATAAGCATTAAAACATAGCTAATTTTGTTTCCCTATCTTTTAGTTTAAAAGTTATTGAACAAAATTAAAAATTTGTAACAACCCAAAACCCTGTAGAGCATAACTTTTTATAAAAAATCATATGTTCTGCTTTAGGTGCTTGTTGTCGGTTTTTGGTTCTTAAAAGAACCTTATTTCTGAAGACGTTTTGGTACAATCTCATGTACCATCTTCAGGTCTTATCTGCTGGGCTGCTGTTGCTGCTCTGCGTCCACGTCTAACCCGCACCAGAACAGAGATAACACCTGAAGATGTTACATGAGATTGTACCGAAACGTCGTCAGAACAACACAGAGCAGATTCTGGAAAACCACTTTCATAACTTCTAAACCTCTTAATAAATTTTCATTAGATTTTGCATGCAATATAATGTGGTTAATGTCTTAGTCATGATGTGAATTATTATTAAAAAAACATCAGTGACGCAGTTACTCCCCCAGTAACGCCTCCGCCTACTCGCCTTTCCACCTCAGTCTTTAACCTTACTGAAAACTTTAAAACAATAATGATTAGGTTATCTGCTCAATTTAAAGAAAAAAATTATTGTTGGAAAGTTTTGATTTAGACCTTCGTTTCTGAAATATTGGAATTTAAAAGTGGGAACACAAATCCAAATACTGCGGTAAGTAGTCTTGGACTTGTGCCATAAACTGTCATAAAATACATCTTCCAACCATGTTAACTTCAAATAGTTGCTAGATGTCCTGTTTATTTTAAGTGCTCCACCACCTCGTAAAATTAATGACGTTTAAAGTAGACCACCCTGTATATATAAATAAGTTATTTAGGGTTAAAATAACCCTCCAAATATTTTAACTTTTTATTAGTAAACTTTTATGGCAACTTGAGAAAAAAGTTTTTTTTATCCAACCTCTTTTGTATAAGATAAAAACTTCAAAGTTCAATACAGACAATTGAAGCAGACGAATATACGAAACAAGGCCAAAGTAGATTTTACTCACGTATTCAATCAAAGCGGTTTCCAATACGATAAACTAATAAAGAATCTAACAGACGACATAGAAAATTCCTTGTTTTGCAGAAATTTTCAAGATTATGTTTTTACAATAGTGTTTATTTAAGACATTTTATAAAGATAAGATAGTTTAGCAGATTTTTAGATTTTTAGTGGCAAGAAAAGTATGTGGACAAATTTTATACATAACATGTTATATTATAATTTACCACTATATATGAGACGATATATCGTAGTATATTATTATAGTACTATATTATTGGAAACCAATGCATAATTACAAAAAAAAAAAAAAATTAAAGTGAAAGGGTGTTGGTTAAAGGGGAAAGATCAGGCGACACATAATAAAAAAAATATTAAAATCAAGTAAGAATTAATATCCAATTACAAAATTATAGTTTTTTCTCCTTAGTTTGGAATACTATATAATATTAAATTAAAAAAAATACCAATCTTTAGTAAAATTTTTATTACTTAATATAAAATAAGATTCAAATCCACATAAAAACATAAAAAAATATTTAGCAATTATATATTATCGAATGGAAATTCGACATCTTCCACATCAACGTCGTTGATATTTAATCGATAAATATCATCTGGGTTTAACGTGTAAGCAGCCGAAGGTTTGATATGACCAATTACCGATTTGTTTTTCATGCAATGATCCAAAAGTTTTTTCCAATTCACGTCTTGCTCCAATACTCTGGAGTTTCCAACAACCACCAAAAGAGCTTTAGCACGAGTGATGGCAACGTTAAACCTCTAAACAAATAAATATTGGAATTACATTAAAACTTTATTTAATAATTATATATTTAGGAATATGGGTCAAAATTTGATAATCGGCCGCCATTTTTTCATAATTTGAACGTTATATTTTAACTTAATAATATTTTTATACTGTAGTACAATATTTTGTTTATATTCACACACTTTAGTAAGTATATTTTTAGTTTTCAATGATCAAAATGTGTCAAGTTTATTTCCTGTCGGGCGAATTTTACATTTTGATGCAATTTTTTTTAAGATTTACTATAGATAAATACGTATACAATAGATAAATAATTCTGTTTTTTGTAATAAACTTTTTTGGCTAAACGTTTAATTCGCAGCACCCTATAATTTTATTGTTATATTTAATATTATCATATAAATGAATTAAAATTAGCGTTGGAAAAATGACTAAACTTTTATGTTAAATGTTATTAATATACAAGGTGTACCTAAACTTATTGGAATAAATTTAGGAAAAGATTGAGCAAGTCAAAATAAGACAAAAACTTAAATAAATATTTTTCCTAATTTCTTATGTTTCCAAGATACAGGGTTATAAAGTGTTACTTATCATAACAGTTTTTCTAATATAACTTGTACTATACTATTCTTGGAAAGGTGATATTTTGCGAACAGTCACTTACTACTAAAACACATAATTACAATTTTTTGAGTGTCGTAGAAACGGAGGTTGCTTTAAGCTTATTGTCCCATCCAAACATTTGATGCAATATTGCGATTACACAGTTCGGCTACCATTAAAAAGGTGTACCTACTTCTCAAACTTCCGAGATATTCGAGATTACAATAATTAATTGAATTACCTATTTAAAAGGATTAAATGGTACTTATATGATAACAAATTTTATTTTTTTATTGAAAAAACTAAAAAGGGCATTCCATGAGCCTTGGGACTTTTTGATCTGACCGTCACATTAAAAAAAAAATTTCAATTAAAAAATTTGTTATCGTATACCTTTTAGTCCTTTAATACGATATAACAATTATTGTAATTTCGAATATCTCGGAAACGGTTTATTTTATCGAAGTTTGAGAGGTACATCTTTTTAATAGTAGACGAACTGAGTAATCGAAAAATTGCATCAAATACCTAACCTCAAAGTTTGTATGGGACAATAAGCTTAAGCAACCCCTGGTTTTTCGACACTGCGTTCACTTGAACAATTGTAATTATGTGTGAATATGTGTTTTGATATTAAGTGACTGTTACCACCTTTCCAAGTCAACCATAGTAGAAGTTATATTAAAAAAACTCATATGATAAGTAACACTTTATCACCCTGTATCTTTTAAACATACGTAATTAGGAAAAATATTTATTTAGATTTTCGTCTTATTTTGACTTGATTAATCTGCTCCTAAATTTATGCCACTAAGTTTAGGGGCACCTTGTATATTTTATTAGCTTTATTTACGTTTCCAAACTAGTTCGGAAATTCTAGTAATGCGCATTTTACATTTTTAACGTAAAATTTTAAAATGCCCATACCTGGGAAACAGATATTGCACACAAGGTGTTCTAAAAATTTCGCACTTACATTTTTCTTTTGTGTATATTTAAAAATATTTAATTTAAAATCCAATAAAGTGTATTGATTTGTTTTAAGGTAGAGTCAACTTGACTGTATTACACCTATATTACCTTTTTGGCCGATTATCAAATATTGACCATTTTAGTATAATACTAGAGAAACTCAATAAGTCCTAACAAAACAATATAAAATATAAATATACCTATATAATATATATATTATATATATTATATTATTTTGTTGTTTTGTTAATTTATTGAGATATATATATATATATATATATATATATATATATATATATATATATATATGCATATATACCGGGTGTATCTGAGAATATGGGCACCCCTGTACCTTTTTTATTTATAAAGATAGACACATGAAATTTAGCATGGTTATTAGGATATAAAATGCTACTTATAAGAGTCCAAAATGAATTTTTTGAACTTCCGGTTTTGCCGGAAATGATACCAACTTTTGATTTTTAAATGGAATGCCCTATATATTTTTACATATTTGGAATCCTGAGAAAATTCTGAGTCAACTAAGAAAGATTGAGAGAGAAAAAAGATATTTTTTTATTATTTAAACTTTGACCTCCGATAATATTTAACTGGATGGTTTTACAAAAAAACTTAATTTTTTTTATAGAGCGTCAAATTTTCTACAAGGATATATTTTATGTATTATTGCATGTTTATTCATTAGCAAGTTATGATTTTTTTCTTACATTTTAAATTTAAAAAATCATCATTTAGGCAGGGTTCAAAATTGTTTTTAAATTGTAAGAAAATAATTTAGATTATACCCAAATTAAAAAGCCAACTTGAAAAATAACTTTCTATTCAGATATAAATATCATTATTTTTTTTACCTAAAACCAATGAGCCATATTATATGCTTTTAGGCTTAATAAATGTATAGGCATATTCAATTTTAAACAGTTTTAAATGCTGGTGCAGTTGTGCTATTATTTGGCCTATTTTATTTTGAAATAAAATTAAAAAACATCAACTATAATTTCATTGAACATCAACTATAGTTATATTAAATCCACGATAAAAAAGTCAGGTTTGTAAAAGTTACCTTTGGATTTCTTAAAAATCCCAAATGAAATTTTTGGTCAAAGTTTTGCAAATTTTTACTGCTCTTGGATCTTACTGTAGAAATAATAATTATCATTTTTTCTTTTCCTTGAAATTGCTCTACCGAACCAATTAAAATATTGCTCCAGCTCTTTCGGTTACAGGCTTGTTTGAGTTTTAAAACCTATAATCATTTTTATTAAACTAAACATTATTAATTTAAAATAATGTATACCTGTTTTCTGTAGGGAGATATAATTCCTAAATGCTCCTGTTTAATTTTAACACCACCGATCATTTGATTTAAAATTTTGGATAAATAATCCATCACCACTTCTACCTCTTGAATATTATAATAACTGAAATCAATCAACCATAAATTATTCATACAAAGTGCATCAAAGACAATTTAATAGCAAGTAATTTTAAAGAAATTTAAAATAAAATTATACCTAGGGGAATCTTTGTCTTTTTTATCTTCGCCTTCGACATCGTGAAAAAGTAGGGGGAAATCACGCTTTCCCAAATTATTCCATTTCGAAAAAACTTCAATATACTCATTTCCCATTGCAATGAGATCCCCGTCGTAAAATAGTTCATTGGAAACTTTCAAAATCTCTGGATGCGATCTGTAGTTCCTTATTAGTTTAGTTACGTATTTCGAATTGTATGTTCCTTTATAGTCTGCTCTTGCGTATAGATTGCAGGTTGTCATCAGTCGTTCGAGCATTGATATACCTGAAGATAAACATATATTTTAAACTATTTGCAAAATACAAAATATTAAAAACGGTTTATTGGAAGGTCAAACATTATAAGATTATTATTTGAATCTAAGAAGGTACTAAAACGACGATGCACACACTTATTATTATTATTATTTTTTTAACATTATTTACTTTTATTTTTTAAGTTTTACTTAATATTGTTGGATATTAATTTTAAATATTTGTTTTAAAATGGTGACGAGTATTGGTTCGTTTGAAACAAAATCTAATTATTTAAATTATTGGTTTCTTACCTCTTTTTAAAGATACACATAATAAGTATTTTTTAGTGAAATAAATGATAATAAGAATAAAATAATTTATTTTTAGATACTTTTTTGTGGTCGAAGAGAAGAGTTTTGATTTTTGTTCAGTATACATATATTTATTTTAACTCTTAAATAGTAAAATTCAGTTTTGTTAATTAAATATTTAATTATATCGTCGTTTATCTGACAAAGAGGCGTAACTCAAAAAAAATCGTTTTTGAGTTATACCAGAATGATCACCAAAATCGACTTTATAATCTCACAAACTGGCGTAGCTCTATAATAAATAGGTACAAATAAAGTTTTAGCATAAATCAGTTTCGGCGTAACTAATATTTTTGCATTTTGTGTGCCGTACAAACTGGCGTAATTCAATTCACACCGTTTTGTTTAAAAATGAGATACGCCTCTTTGTCAGATAAACGACGATATGTAAATTCAGTTTTTTATAAAGTACCATTTGTTGACTAGGTATGTTTGTATATTGTACTATTATAACTTTAGGTCATAAATATCGTAGTAATTGGTTAATAAACAGCCATACAAAAAAATAAAAGTAGAATGTCAGTCGAACTACAGTAGTCACATTCTATGGATTTTCGCTGAATCCAAATCCGTGGTCGGAAGGTAAATTATCTAAACAATATGATTGATCATATTTATATTGAATACTTTTGTTTTGTTATATCATTTGTATTTATAGGTTTTTAACATAATACCTTTAATAGATGATATGATTTTCAAAAGTAAATATTAAAATGGCTGAACTTGCTTACTTGACAGCTGTCAGATTTCAGATAAAGTTGGCTTTAAATTCCTAAATATTGTGTGCGACTGTTGGTCAAAAGAGGAGATTTCACTCGCGTATTACCGCACTTGCTACGCTCGTGCGGTAAACTCCACGCTCGGGGAATCTTTCTACCACTAGTCGCAAAATATACTATTTCTTGATAAACTTTTAATGGACGATCATGATTTTTAAATAAGGGTAGTTCTTTTCTTATTTTAAACACTCTTGCAGATTTTTTTTAGACAGGAAATAAACATTTTTTAATTATTTTTGTATAAAATATGTATAATCCTTACTTTAAATAAAATGATTTCTTAGCTAAAAGACAATTGTACAATATTATAAAAATAGAGATATGCCTAGAATACTAAATTAAATGATATAACAATGAATCTTTTCGTTTGGCCCATGTAATATAGATTTTGATCATCATATTATCTTTGAGTTAATGCAAAAAATTTGCTTTAAATTAATAATGGTTGTGACATGTATTGTTGTTGGGTGCGGAAATGTAACAAATTTTTAAGTATTGACTATCCTGCCGTCCTAAGCCAAAAAGACGCATATCATTATTATTATTATTAATTAATTAATTAAGTTAACTCATTCTCTTGGCAAAAAGACGCATTTTAACAATACTTACATTTTGAAGTAATTGCTAATTAAATTGAACGTATCTTAAGAAAAAAACAATTTTTATTGATAAAACGCAAAATAAAGTAAAAATGTTAAGATGCGTCTTTTTGGCTTAGGACGGCAGTATCGCTCTAGAGCAAAAATACTGTTTGTTAATTATGAATTATTAAGGATTGCTTGTTTAATGGCAATTTAGTCCAGGCCAAATCCAGGCTACTTATGGTTGTTCCAAAACTAAGTGCTGGCAAGATGGATTTTTCACGGTTGGTTAGAACTTGCCAAGAGTCCACACTCAAAAGCCTTTATGTTAAGTTTAAAATCGTATAAGTAGCCTGGACTAAAATTCCAAATTTTGCAATATTTTTTTATTATTGAAGAAAAGACTAATATTTTTTTGCTTTGCACTCCCCAAAAAACCATATTCATGATATTAATTTACATTTGGTAACATGAATTGACTGCAGCTGACCCAGAATTACCATAACTCTTGTAATATTAACCATTTATATAATATGTAAATAATATTTACTAAATATAGATGTATGTATTTTATTTTTAATTATATTATTACTACAATAAATAAATCTTATATTTATGCTTGTTTTATTTAAAATACAGCAGTAAATATATAAAGCCAACCCACAAAGCATTAACATTCAAATATGGCGCCAATATATGTTACAGAAATATACTTCAATTTTTGGCATTGCTTAGGTACTGTAGACCTGGATGGCGTCACCTTTACTTTACTTTAGACTGTTGCCGCTAGCGCTAGTGCAGTTTCCAATCTATTGGGTGTATTATCTATGAGTGTAGCACGTAATTTTTTTTTGTATTTAGGTATGGTTTCAAGATGACAAAATAAAGGAAAATTGCAAAACATTGATTTATTCTATGCCAAAACAAGTTAAAGCTTTAATAAAGGCCAAAAGGGGGACAAATTTCCTACTAAATAATACTTAAATATTTATAAACTCGTACTGTTTGTATTGTTTTTTCAATAAATAATATTTAACGTAAATCTATTTGTATACTCATAACATTCAAACCCCGCAAAGTTGAATTGACATTTTTTAACACCTTGTAATTTAAAAGAAAAACATAACTTTATGTGAAAAACTAATATTTTTTCACAAATCTACTGTTTAATTTTCACGACCTTTATAACACCATGTATGTAAGTATATCTTTTGAGGTCCAAAATTTAGTGCTATTTTAAAATTCAAATTCATCGCCTTAAAGTACATAGGATATTATGCTCTACGTACTACGTAGAGCATAATATCCTATGTACTTTAAGGCGATGAATTTGAATTTTAAAATAGCACTAAATTTTGGACCTCAAAAGATATACTTCGAAAAAAAAACTAAGCCATATATCCAAATATGTAAGAAAGTCTGGTTCGTTTAAAGCTTCCTATAATATTCTTTTATCAAGTTATTATAACAATAGTGTACGTACCGAGTCCACAAAATTTTACAAAATTTGAATGTATTCTCGGGCCCAGTTGTTTAGGATCGCCGGCCAAAACCAGCTGGCCAGTGATTTTGCTTCTTCTTCTAACACTTGACAAAAAACCCGCCACTGGTATAAGAGTTTCAGTTTCAGTGGCATAACCGCTTTCATCTATAAAAACATACGTAAAATGTCCATCAGGAATACCACCATTTAATAACCTAAAATTTATAACTTTTATATTAAAAGAGTCAGAACTACAAAAAAATATTTTATTATGTTTTTTAATTACACCGTTAAGTAACTTAAGGGTTAAATATTTCCTGAATTGTTACAAGAATGATTACTATACTCTATAGAGGATATATCCATTTAAGCAATTCAGCCCAGCAAAAAATTTTAACAGTTAAAAATGACCAATGACAAGTGTTGTTAATTGTTAATTGTTAAGATTGTTTTACTGGGCTGAATTGCTTAAATGGATAGAGTATAGAAGATATTGCAAAAATTTTAAATCTAATATACCTTGAAAATCTTGAAATTATATTTTTAAATAGGGTGTCCCATAATTAGCGAGCAAAAATAAGAAAAAAAGTTAAATATAGGTCAAGAAATGCTTTCTAAGGGAGCTACAGCTCCCGAAAGAAGAGCCCCTGATGATGGTTTTTATTTAATATCTCCAAAACAGTTCAAGATAGAAAAATGAATTTTAAGAGTTGATTAAACTTCCTGTAACATTGCATAAAATGTCATCTGTCTTGAATAATTTTTATGCAATGTGTGTAAACCAAAGATAATCTTTGGTGTAAACCTCCAAAATAAAATAATCTTACATCAAATCCTGTGACAAGACATGTACATAAAAGTTAGTGTAGTTTTACCCGTACTCCCTATCTATCTGACCTACCCGTCATGGAAAATTTGAAATTGTTATTTTTACATCTAATTGTCCATACACATTTTGATCAATTTCCACAATATCACGTTTCTATCTTTAAAGGTATTGAAGATATTAAATAAAAACCATCATTAGGGGCTTTTCTTTTGGGGACTGTAGCTCCATTAGGAAGCATTTCTCGACCAATAGGATTTTTTTTGTACGTAGAATCTGTTGTTAAAGTATTGCGCGTTAATTATGGAACACCCTGTGTATGGTGTTTCAGAAGGTAAGGTAAATATTTTAGGTAAAATCTCTTAAAATATTAAAAAAATGTTATATAAACCATTAAAGTCTATAAAAAGTCAGTGTAAACAGCAAGAGCATTTTACTGTATCACGCACTGAAATAAAATAACATTTGTATTGACGGCTCCTTGTATCAGCCCTGGATTTGGCTTTGGGAGCTATAGCCCCAGGCCCCGCCATTCAAAGGGGCAACTGAAAACTTAGTATTTAAAAGTCAGATTAATAATACACATTATACAGATATTTTATCTAGGTCGGTACCTTAGAATGACAAGGTTCTAGGTGCGGCTAGCCATCAAAGGATTGTTTTAAAATGGCGAAAAATAAACGAGCCGAATGCGAGTTTGACGCTTTCATGAGAGCGGAATACGCAATTCCAAACGTGTTTCAGACTATACTTTTTCTACGTTTGCAAAAAAACATAGAAACATAATTTAATTGGGAGAAAGTGAGGTTGGATTGGTTTAAAATTTTTTAGATATTAAACACAGATATGTCATCAACAGTTATCAAAAGAAAAACTAATTCATTCTGTAATACTTTACCTATATTCCACATTAAAAAGTGATATTAGGACGGTCATATTCCGTAATAGGAGTAGAAAAAATAACTGAATCTGCTTAACGTAAGGTAAGAAACAGTTCTAACCCAATTACACAACTACTACTACTACATAAAAAGGTAATATAAATAATTTTGAAAGAAAAGTTCAATCTTCTATTATAATATTAATTTAACTATTTTGCGTTCATAATGACTTCATTATAACACCGCTTTGGGTGCTGTAATGAGATACTTTATCCCACCGTCCATTACAAATTCGTCCGCGTTCGACAAAATGACGTCTTATGACATTAGTTCTTTAAAATACTATTATTATGTTATAATAATACATGTGGATATATTTTTTTTATCTTTTGCTAGTTTTGAGTGTACCTAAATCATAAGCTAACAAAAAAAATAATTTTACATCATGAAAAATACTCATTTATTGTGTTTTAAATTGGTACCACCAATCACCCAAGGATTAAGACATCAATAAAAAACCCTGTAAAGGGTTTTGACAGAGTCTCTACCTCAATTAGGAGCCATTTATTGTACTTTTTTATATAATATTTTTTAAATATTCAGTTTTAACACATTGTTTTGTATACGATACTATGCTTCACACCCAAAAGTCTCACCTTGAGATTTGAAAACAAATAATTGGGGTCGTCTATCTGTCAGTTTAACACTAATTACATTATAATATAGGTATAAAGCACATTTTGTATTCTCTTTATAACTACATTATTGCATTATTTTCAGAAAATTAGAGAAAATTAGCGTTAAACAGACAGATATCAAGGTGTGAAGCATAAAAAACTTATTTTAAAAGGCTCTCAAATTGTAAATTTTGAAGATGGGTCAATAAATTTAAAAAAAGGGGGACAGCCTAACTATTCCAAGTAAAAATAAGCCTTGGAAGTCATCGTGACAATAACATTGTTGTTTAAAAGCTACTCCCAATAAAAAGAAGAAAACGTGATAAATGGGCTCATTTTTACTTGGACCATTTAGCTGTCTTACTTTTTTCATTACATTTTTCTCTTAATTTTAAAATTTATTATTATTATTATTATTATTATTAGATGCACAACTCTGTATTTGCAGGATAAGTGATTTTAAGAAAAACACGAAAAACCACTCATAAGGTCATATTTGAAAAAAAAATACAAAAATCGTATATACGTGCTTTTGCATCATTTCTTATTCAAAAAAGTAAAAAAAGTCCTTTAAAATTAAGTAGTTTAGTAAATAATTGAAATCAAAAGATTTAAAAACATAGTTTTGCATCTTCCTCGTTCAAAGACCAAGTCTACAAATATTAACTTATGCATCTGGTTTACTTAGTTATGCTGTGGGCAGTGCAGTTATGATCATAAATAAGATAAAATATATATTTTTTTAAAATGTGCAAAAACCGAGTTTTGCATCTAATGTACTCATATATGAGTACATTAGATGCAAAACTAGGTTTTTGCAAATCTTTAAAAATATATATTTTATAAACCAGATGTATAAGTTAGTATTTGTAGAATAAAATACATTTAAAAACTCAACGCAGATGCAAAACTGGGTTTTTGTTTCTTCCTGTCTAATGCAAAACTCGTTATTTGCTGTTGACCAATCACGTCTGATTAATTGTTATTTTTTGGTATTTGCACTTTTCCCTTGCAAAACTTGGTCTTTGAACGAGGAAGATGCAAAACTATGTTTTTAAATCTTTTGATAACAATTATTTACTAAAATAGGTACCTAATTTTAAAGGATCTTTTTTTTACTTTTTTGAATAAAAATGATGCAAAGCACGTCTATACAATTTTTGCATTTTTTTTCAAAAATGATCTTAAGGGCGTTTTTCATGTTTTTCTTAAAATCACTTATCCTGCAAATACAGAGTTGTGCATCTAATGTAGTGTAGCAGGTACCGCTCTGGATCTCGGAATTATGACTCATCGCCGGTGAGTCAGCGCTCGAATAATCGAGAGCGGTGTGGACCTCGCTGGAATATTCGAGAATGCACGTAGGCACTGAATATATAAGGAACGGCGCAGCATGGAGCAGTCAGTCAAGTTTTGGTACTCGCGACGAAATAAATAAATATACGTGCAAATAAATAGACTCTTGAACAGTATAGATATAAATAATTAGTAGTTAAGTGTTTAGTTAGTTTTATAGTTTATAGTGTTTTAAGTATAATTAAGTTATAAAATAAATAGTTTAGTTCGTTAGTAAACCAGTGCGTGTTTTAATTCACACTACGAACAATAAAAACGTTACAGTAGTATAATAATAATAATATAATAATATAATTATGTTATATATTATATATGTATTTATGTCTTCAAAATTATCAACTCAAGAGCCATTTAAAATATGCCACCCTGTATTATCTCACCTTGCCGCAGTTACAACTGTGGTTAACAAAATTCTGTATTTAAGTAATTCTTTGGTCGACGGCATAAAAAATTCACCATTTTTATTAACATTCGTATTCTTAAATGTATTTTGTTTGTCATGGCCATAAATTGAACCCAATAACCTAAATAGCGACGATTGAGGTAAATATTTTGCTAGTCGGCTGGTGATTTCATTTGCCGAGGCATTTGAAGGGGTGCAGACAAGTATTTTTGAATTGTTGTTCGTTTTGTGTACCTAGAAAATTACTTTTAGTTTGTATTACAGTTTTGTTTTCGAAGTTACTTGTAAGATTGCTTCAACTAACGTATACGTTTTTCCAGTACCTGGTGGACCAAATAACAAATAAGGCACGTCCTTAACATTTAATATGTTTTGAACTGCTAATTTTTGCTCCTGGTTAAGGTTTTTATTGAAGTAAACCAATCTAAAAAAATCATTAAAATTCGAAATGATATATAATAACATTAATGTAATTATACCATGTAACATAAAGGTTAGGAAAAAGTTAAACGGTTAGTAAAAAATATTGTTTTTTATATAAAGAGTTCCAGTTTGAAAGGTAGGTAAACGAAATTTGGTAAATAATTTTTAAGGTTTCTTCCGCCATTTTTCAAGACTGGATCAAGGCATACTCGATTAGGTTTCTATGGACTTTATTTACCTGAGTAGGTTGTGGAAAATCTTTTTATTTATTTAAAAAGGAAAGAAGTACAAAAACTTATTTTTAAGTATCCGCCATTATTTTTCCAATATTTATGTTACATCCTGTATAGCTTTTTTATTTTAAAATTTGACAAAACTTACGACGATGTGTTTCTAATTTCTATAGTGCTAGTTTCAGGGAAAAAATAAGAAGCTATATTATGTTTTTTTATTAAATCTACAGCTTGATGTGTAACTTTTAACGGTCTTCTGTTAAAACCAAATTCTACAAAGAATTTCGTATTGTTAAAATGTATTCTTCCAAATCTAAAAAAAAGTTTTATTTATCTTAAACACTTTTAAGTATTGGATTATACCTAGAATCAATTCCCAGTTCAACAGCAGTTTCCAAAACCTTGTGAACAACTCCTTGGTACTTTGTACTGCTCCCGGGAGATTCTTTTAAATATACAGAATCACCAATTAGTAAAGAAGGTCTTGCTTCGGCCAGTCCTGCTACCTAAGCATTTATAAATATAAAAAATAACAATGGACAAAGAAATTTACCTCCAACAAATAAAATGTTCCATGTAGATGAGTAAGGGTTGACATATTATTATATTCTTTTATATCAACCTTCATTTGAGCTTCTTCTAAATATAGGAGAGTGTGTAAAGTTTCACAGTAGCTTTGTTCCTGGATTCTTGGAGAAATATAGAAAAAGTCTTTGGCAATAGCTCTAAAAAAAAGAAATTTAGTTAGTCACTCCATCTGTCAAAATTTAAAAAAAATTATATATCTCAAAAACGGTTCAAAATTTAATAGCTCCAGAATTTTTTAATATTTACAAAGTATAAGTATAACTTCCGGTTCAACCAAGAGTGACAGCGTATTAACCATATTTTAGAAAATAGATCACATCGTACTATAGCCGCAGCCAAAATTTCAGATTAATGTCTCATTTAGTTCTCTATAAACCTCTTATGAATCAGTTAGGTAAATCACCCTGTATAAACATCAATCCAAAAAGTTGCTTTTTCTAAACATTAATTTCTTTAGACTGTTGCCGTCATGAGTAGTGTGTTCACAGAAGATACATGCCCCGCGTTGTAACTTACAACTTACAAGTTGTAAGTTGGCGATGCTCGACGCAAGAGCCCTTGATACTTGTGTACTGCCTACCAGTGGCGGGCGGCTGGTGAATTTTGGGTAATACCCAAAATCTATACTATATACTATATATACCGATATCTCAATTATAAGATATGGAAACGAAACCAAATTTATATGAGTTTATAATGACATTAAAAAAACAAGTTCTGCGCAGAATTTAAGTTGAAGTTTTCAAAAAAAAGATAACTTTTTGCTGGGCCGTACAGGCCCCATGGTGCCCCCAATAAATATAAAATAAATTTAATTGGTGCAATTTATTACTTCTTATAGTTTATCAACAAATTTCAAATTTTATTTAAAAAATCCAAATCTTACAGATTTTATGCAAGATGTTCCTAAACTTATTGGCATAAATTTAGAAAAAGATTGAGCAAGTCAAAATAAGACGAAAACCTAAATAAACATTTTTCCTAATTACTTATGTTTCCAAGTGATAAAGTGTTACCTATCATATCAGTTGTTTTAATATAACTTCTACTATGGTAGTCTTGGAAACGTGATATTTTGCGAACTTACTACCAAAAGACATATTCACACATAATTACAATTGTTTTAGTGAACACAGTGTCGTAGAAACGGGGGTTGCTTTAAGCTTATTGTCCCATACAAACTTAGAGGTTACGTTTTTATAACATTTGATACAATTTTTCGATTACACAGTTCGGCTACCATTAAAAAGGTGAACCACTCAAACTTTGATAAAATAAACCGTTTCCGAGATATTCGAGATTACAATAATTTTTAAATTTGAGAATTGTAAAAATTAGTGCATTTTTAAAAAAATTATAAATTTTCAATATTTTTTTTATGTATGTAAATACTTGCATTTTCAGGTAGTTTTATACATATTATACTATTATTATATTATATTATTATATTATAATAACGTTTTGATTAATTTTAGATCACAAATTCTAGCGATAAATGCGCGGTGAGAGTGTGAGTGTAGCAACAGCAATTACAGCGAAGAAGTACGCACTAATCATGACTGCAGCAGAAGTATAAAGGAACGACTGTTAAAGTTAAGGTTTTATAATGGTTACTTTTTTGACATCATTGATTGATGTTTATTTTTTATTGGGTCTTCTTCGGTAATGTGCAGATTACACTAGTTTACAAATTGGAAATTCTGCCCACCATATCCCATTATAATTTTTCCAAGTATTTTGACCCCTTAAATTGAAGATATTTGAGCCCTCTAAAACTTTATTTTACATACTTTTGATTTCGGATAAGTATTTGGACGCTAGCGATTTTAATAACTTAAAAAATTCGTTTTTATGGCAAAAATTGAGGACGAAAATTTACATATCGTCCTGGGAAAGGTTTAAATCAAACAGATAACTCCAGTTTGGATTTTTTTCGTGAAGCTGACATTTTTACAAAAGAAACAAGCTAATGTTAATAAAAATACATGAAAAAATGGCGAAGTTATGAATTTTTTAGTGGAAGACCAAAATTCAGCTTTTTGACGATTTTTATTTTATTTTTTTTCTTTTATTTCGTAATATGTTTATTTTTTAATGAAAACCTAAACGTGAATTCTTTTGTTTCTCGTGTTGGCATAGTGACATTTTACTGCTATTTTTTGATATTTTAACAGAGTATTTTTATCATGGTTTTATTTAGTTAAGAAAAAGTGTAAAATAAGTAAAAGAAGTAGAGAGTTCGAACGCTTAAATAACCCGGACAATCTGGGCGACGTTAGTGATGAGCACGGAGAACGTTTTCACCAGCAAATGAAGGCTATGGAGCGGAGGTATCACGGCTTCTGGGATGCAGCCATGATGGGTGATTACATTTGGTCCCTTATACGAGAAACGGAATACGAAAGCAACAAAAAACAAAAAAGTAGCCAGATTTTTTTTAAACCTATGCTTATTAGAACAAAATAAAACTTTCAATGTCTTCAATGTTCAATATTTATTGTTCAATATTCACTATATAATTTAATTTCAATATTTAATGTTTAAAATAAAAATCAATGTTCAATATATATAACTCAATAAAATGAAAAAAAAACGTAAAATATCTCGAAAAAACTGAATTTTGGTCTTTCACTGAAAAATTCATAACTTGCCATTTATCCTGTATTGAACTACTAAGCCGATGGCTCAATTACCTTTGATTTAAGTGCTTGTTTGGTCAAATCGATCAATTCGAACTCGAAGTATACTCTAAAACGTCAAAACACCTCAGAAAATAAAAAAAACAATTGAAAACTCATATATCAAATACGCTTCCATGAAAAAAATTTAAGTGTGATTTTTGCGTTAAGTGAGCCATACAAACAAGAAAATAATAGTGAGACATGGTGGGCAAAATGGCTGTAAACTAGTGTTATTATTCCCTATAGTTTCTGGCAGTACTCATATAGGTTTTATTAGGAATTGTATGTTATATATGTATACAACATACAATTTCTAATACAACCTAACGTATTAAAATAAACCAGCAACCATTGATGAGTAGAATAGTATATTGGTCACCTTTTGTCACCTATTTTATTGCTTTAAGAAACTAAATTATTATTTTAAAACAACTGCATCAATAGTTGCTGTTTTATTCTCTCCGTGTAGTTTTAAAATAATAATTTAGTAGAATTAATAAAAATGAGAAAATTTTTTAATTTGGAAATCACATCAATTTTTTCTTTATATTATTCCTCAAATGAATAAAAATATATTATTTGTTAAATTAATGATAAAAATTTAAATTTTAATATATTTTTCAATATTACCCATTTTTAAAAAAATATTTTTTCTACGACCACTATGTAAAAGTCACTTTTCATGATGGCATCGTTGCTTAGAAAATGAATCTTTTCATTGGCAAGGCAAATGACAAGTGACAAGTCTGTGTGAAAAGAAATTGAAAGCATCGTTTGACATTCAGCTGACAAAAAAGTTTTTAGGTTATTTTGTTTTGTATTTATAAATAATAAAAAATAAAAGGGTCAAGCTCGTGTTAATGCACACTCGGCCTAACGGCCTCGTGGGCAACTTAAAAACTCGCATGAAAAAGTCGCTTTTTAACACTTGTAAAACCAATAACTATTTTGATATACAACCTTATATGCATGTATAAAGTGCGTCTTTTTCATTAGCGGCAGACAAAAAAACCTAGGGATAAAAGAAAATCCATAGGTGACTCAATAGACGTCAAATAATAAAATTCATTTGGCTTTTCATACAAAGCAATCACGATGTATTAATTATATTAATTGATAGATAGAAGAGTCGCCAATGTCGGAACTCAAAACAAATGTCAGTACGTCAAAATTAATTCAAGCACAGCATTTTGACAGATCAGTGTTTATTTTTAGTTTCGGATATTAATCGGCATTGTAAGTAAGGGTTATAAGTTTTTTTAGTTTTTATCAATAATTTCTAATGCATTTAGCCAAAATTTTATCCCACATGAGTTATGAGTAAATAAAATAATTATATTTCTTATCCTATTTATATTACGCCCTTGAAAAAAATAGTATATGTTATTTGGAGTAGAAGCTCTTTTTGTGCTTCGTACAGTTACCTGCCTCAGCTACGCTTCGGCCGTCAATCTCTGTACTCACCACAAAAAGAGTCACTTCTACTCCTTATAATATTCTACTATTAGGTATTAAACATTTTCCCCGTCATTGAATTTTTTGCAATTGTTAAAACATTATAAGAATAATATTAATTTTGTAATAAAAAAGGCGTTTACATGTAAAATATTTTACCTTTGCAAAAATTCATTAACGTAACTTCTCCTATGAAAATCTGGACACACTCGCAAAACTTGACGTAGAACTTGGACAATTGATTGAGGAATTTCGTATTGAAGCAAGGTAACCGTTTGTTTGTATTTGTTGTTAGCCCTAAAATATTGCTGTTAAATAAAATTTTAGTGGGTGTTTTAACTTACGTTCTAACTAGCGCAACTCCAGGTACAATACGTTCTCTAAGATTGTATTTAACCGGAGTTGTGGGAGGGCTTGGTTTATCCATTATCATGCTGTCGTAACCTTCGTCTTTAGCTAAATTCGAGTATTCGGATGTTATTTCAATAGGCTGAAAATAATTTACTATAATGCATAACGTATTGCCTATTAAAAATAAATCAAAAAATATTAATGGTCAACAGTAAGTGTTTTGTTTGGTAGATATGAAGTTTTTCAGGGTAACACGCTTAATCCAAACTGTACCTTAGGGCCAAGGTATGGTAAGTTCAAAAACCTGATTTTGGAGGAGAGGCGTTTAAAGATTTAAAACGCGGAATTTTCATCTCCATTGTTGCTCGATTTCTATAAAACCCATATCATATTTTCTGGGTTTCAGAGAAATCGAACTTTAAACAAGTAATAATATTGCCTTATTTTGAAACACCCTAGTATGTATACATAATACACTGCAGTGCATGTGCATACCTGTTTATTTTTTGCTTGGATGATTAATATAATTATTTTTAGAGGTAAAAACAATGATGATATATATAGTATAGTCAAAATAAATCTTAAAAAACTATTTTTCCATGTTAAATCAATGGGAGAACTTTAAATTCGATGATGGACCTTTTAAAATTAATATTATATTAATCATAAGTGACGAGAATATTTCATGAATTGGAAGAATTTTGAAACACCCTAATACATACTATAGGTAAAACTTATTCAAAATCGGTTAGTAGATAGTTTGTTATCATTGATTACTGATAGTTCGGTTGTTATTGTGGTTTCTCTGGGACTACATGAACAGTTTAGTGTACCAGAGCGAAGTTGACACATTAGAAAAACTCCGAGAACTTGTCACTGCAGCGGCAGATAAAATCCGAAATCATCTGGATATGATAGCAAGATCGACACATCATCATTTTCTACGCCTCTGTCAACACTAAAAAAATAGCTACATGCTCATATGAAAAGTTAATGGTGAAATTTAAAATCAAAGGGAAAACCACGGACACATGATACGAGATACCTAACAATTAAAAGTAAGTATTGTTTTATTCAAAGAATCTTAAAATAGCTGAGTATGCAAAACAAAAAACAATTATCAACAAAGTAATCAATGATAATACAAATATATTGCTTATTGTGCAAGCCTATTTTGCGTCAGGTCAGGAACAACCAGTGGCGGCCCAAAATTTTTACTTTACTTATAAAAATTTTAATGATTTTTTTTTGTTAAATTTCACTAATGCAGAAATATTGGAGGAAACTTTCTTATTTTGGCGTGTCCACCCTGCAAAAAAAAAGTTTTTGGATCATCAGATTTTAATAAAATTTACTGAATTGGAAGCTCTAAATTTCTACTTTATTATAATATAATTGTCTACACTGCGATTGGCGATATTATAAAATAATCGTCTTTATTTTGTTAGTAAAAAATATTACAATAATATAGATTATTAAATATTTCACGTAAACTGGCACATACTTATAGCATATAATACGAATGACCTATATACTACAAGAAAAAAAATGTAAGTATACCTTTATTCTTAAGAAACTTTACTTGGTTTAGGTATAATTAGCTTAGGGCCAGTTTATCAATGTACGGTTAAAGTTGCAGTTAGTTATCTGGCAGATAATCCCCATGGATACCATTGTTCTCACAACGATCGATATGGAATTTAACTGTCAGATAGACTAACTGGAACTTAACCAGAGATTGATAAACCGGCCCTTAGGCTTTTAAATATTGACCTATCCTTAAATTAAAAAGATTTATTTCTTAACTTAAAATTTAGTATGGTTGAAACAAGATGATTGACCTAATATTGTCAAGGCTAAAACTAACAAGCAGATCTTATTCTTGCCTGTTAAATGTTAAGAAAGACTTAAGATAAAATAATCCTATTCATATTTTAAGATTAACAATCGATTATACTAAATTTTAGAAAATCTAATTTATTCTATTCTTAAGGGTATAAAACTAAACTGGATATAAATAATATACATATATTTATTCTAAGATTAGTTAATATTGGTACGACTGGACGATTCTTAAAAATATCCCCTACTCACGAACGTGTCCGACACTGTCCGTTTTACCCTATTTGTCACAGCGCCAGCCCGACATTTTGATTTTTTATGTTTATTTGGTTTGGAATTATGGAAGATCTGCTAAATGAGTGGAATTTAATAGAATTAAGCACCAAATTTATGGGTAAGTAATAATTCTTAAATAATTATATTTATGTGTGTAGTAGGGTGCTTCAAAAAATAAAATTTAATTTTTTTTTCGCTCTTACCCTCTCAAATGTTTCTATTTAATATAAAAAAATCCTCACCAATTATGGGCGTTCCAGCTCAACTCTAAGAAGTCGCTGTTTTTATTTTAGTTTCCAATTAAATTAATTTGGGAAAAAATAATTTTATGTTTGGAATTTTATACCTCTATATCAAAGTAACTTATGGCAATGATCATTTCAGTTTCTTATATACAAAAAAGGTCTCTTATTATTTTTCGATAAATTGATTTCTTCTAAAGTTATTCGAGGTCAAAGTTTGATTAACATCAAATTTTCTGTTTTTTTTTTTAAATTTTATGGTACAATTAGCAGTCGGGAGGTGAAAGGTGGTAAAACAATGCAGCGGGAGGGGGGGCCAAAATGGGGTACCCAAAAAATTTGTTTTTAGTTTGTTTTTTTCGGTTTCTAAATTATTTGAAAATGGACTCACAAGTTCACGCTTTTAATCGAAAATAATAATTATTCTGAGCCTGTAGAGCGAGAAAAAGGATGGTACAATTTTGGAAAACTTTTCATATGCTCATTTTTTGGGTACCCCATTTTGCCCCCCCCCGCTGCCTTGTTTTCCCCCCTTTCACCTCCCGTCTGCTACCATAAAATTAAAAAAAAAAAACAGAAAATTTGATGTTATCAAACTTTGACCTCGAATAACTCTAGAAGATATCAATTTATCGAAAAATAATAAGATACCTTTTTTGTAGAGCGTTACATTTTATATAAGAAACTGCAATGATCATTGCCATAAGTTATTTTGTTACAGAGGTATAAAATTCCAAACATAAAATTATTTTTTTCCATGTTAGTTAAATGGGAAACTAAAATAAAAACAGCGACCTCTTAGAGTTGAGCTGAGACGCCCATATTTGGTGAGAATTTTTTTTTATGTTAAATAGAAACATTTGAGAGGGTAAGAGCGAAAAAAAATTAAATTTTATTTTTTGAAGTATTATGTATAGAATCATATAAAAAACAATTATGTATATTTTACCTCTGCCGTGCGGCAGAGTATAGGTACGAATAAAAATTTTGGTTAAACAGGCCAATAGAGCAAAACAATGTTAGTCTCGCAAAAAAAAATCAACATTCCTGAATTTTAAAAAAATAATTGTAAATACCCAAAAAGGGCCCTATAGTGGATAATCCACTCTTTACCTTTTGAAATAAACATGGTCATTATACCCTAACTTTATTTAAAGTCGAACAAAAGTTAAAAAAAAGAATAGACAATTCGTCACCTGAGAAAAATGCAGATAGAACACTATAATTCTCAGGTGACGAATTTTTAAAACAAGTATTGCTTAACTTATATTTAATCCAAAAGTAAATATTGTATCGCCAAGAATTATAAAATTTGTATCAAAAAATACTTATTCTTAAATTAAGCATAGTGTATATTTTATTTGAGGTTGTTTTGTTTTTTAAAAAAATATTGCTTACATTTAAAATAATATGATAGATTTAACATAATAATAGGTTAAGGTAGTTCTTGCATTCAACCCACTATATCCTTTAAGTAAGTATTAATTTAAATTACAAATAAGAATAAAACAATCCTTAAATAAAAGGATACTTGCGGAATGGTGAGATGAACGTAAACTTGGACCGAGATGATTAAATATTTAATATATGTAGAATGGCTTTTTTCCGTGTACTTACTACATCAAAAACCAATAATTCTTGAGTTATTTGTGCTTTATTTTTTGCCACAATAATAAACGGCATTTGAATATCCATGCTGTTTGTGAAGAACCCCTTCAAAGGTACCAAAATATGTTTATGTTTTTCCAAGTTGCATGGTAAATTTAGATAATTTCGGCACACCTCTATTTCCGTTAAATTATTATTTACTTTAAAAACATCAATAAGTAATATGTTTGTATTTGAGATATTTTCTATTTTCAGTTGGACATCGATGTTTTGATTCAATTCGCCTTTTATTACTCCCACGGTAGATTTATTTTTCTGTATTTCTGCTCTTAGTTTATTTGATTGCCTTAGGCTTGACCTTTAATTAAAAGGTTTTTGTTATAACATATTTTTGATAAAGATATTTGTAAGCTTACCTGTTTGTTACATACTGCATCCTGATTCGATGAGATAGATCTTCCTTATGAGACAAATATTTAAATTTACTTGAAAACTCAGTTGCGCACAATTTGCAAGATTTATCTGTGATGTACTTTTTTTCGCTGATTTGATCTTCAACGATGATTTCATGTGCTTTATGAAATTGTAAATTTAATTAATATTGTATATTTTTCTGTCAAATATTTACCTTTGCAATTCAAATAATCAATCCAGTTTTTATTAAAATGAATTATTGTTTTGGTGAATCGATCAATATACCAAAAACTCCACATTTCCATAAGATGTTCCCAAAAACTTATTTTTTGATTTCTTTCTCTAAAGAGATTTAAATAAATGTTCCTTACATTTTCCTTATTTGATTTGTAATGGATAATTTCATTTTTTTCAATAAGCAATAAAGCAAACGTTTCTGTAAAATAAAATTTTGGTTATTTACATTCATTTTATAAAAAATACAAATATTTACCTAAATCCATGTTATATAGAAATAAATCATTTAATAAAAATTACAATAAAATTAACAAAAATAAATAGTACATACTATAAACACATTTTAAATACTAAAATATAATATTAAATGCAAGGTCAATCATTTGTATGATTTGTTTGTTTTTTATAGAGATTTTTTAGTTCTTAAATTAAAACTTATTTTATATACAGCAGGTTTATTTTATCTTGAATTTTCGAATGCCATATAATAATAACTACACTGAGAAAAATAAATATTTAATATTAAAAACAAAAAATAGTTGCGATTTTTTAAAAATATATGTTATTTAGTAAAAATTCTTTAATAGTAAACAAATTATATACTAATTATTATAATATCGTCCGGTCATTGTCTTTCACATAAATAATGTGTAAAGTTGTCAAAAAAACAATTATATTAATATACAAATTATGTATTACATGCATGTATAGTATACTGCATAAATACCTTTCGCCTCTGTATTCATCGCCCTATATTATAGGCCCGAATTAGCACGACATATATACTATATATTATATACATATATATTATATACATATATGTTTCGTGCTCATTCGGGCCTACACCGAAAAAAATAATGTAGTTGAGTTAACATTTGCCTAAATGTAATTTTTAAAAATGTTGTTTCAACAAAAAACCTATTGGATTAATCTATATTTTGGTGTTAAAGCAAAAGTCAGAGTTTGTCAAAGTTTATTTGTTCATTTGACAGTTTAAATATTAATTTAACATAAACTAATATTTTGAATTAAAATGTTTATCGTACTTTGATTTAATAGCTGGAATTTGTTGAATCAACTACTGAAATTTTTAGGATTACCTAAAAAAACTATTAAATTAACGTTTAGTTGCTCTTTAATCCAAAACTTTAAATTTGTTCATTTTAACAAATTTAAAATTTAAAATGTTACTTTAAAATTTAAAATGTAAAATTTGCATTCATAAAATTGCCGAGAATGGCGCTTCGAACACTCACGCCACGTCATTAGACAATGACGTTTTCTTACATCTCGCCTTAGTTAGCTTACGATTAGGTGTATATAAGATGAGATATCTGTTTGTTTAAGGTATGTTCCACAGTAGAACTTTCACTACACCATATTGCCCGACACTGTTAAGACCCTCAATACAGGGCGAAACAGTCTGTCGGTATTTGAAGTAGGTGTAACACATGATACAAAGATGTATCATGGGTGGAACACGCTCAAAACAAAAACTCTGGGCGAGGTGAAGGTTCAATTCTTTCTATTTATATATAATAATATATTATTTCCATAATTTTGTTTTGGATACCAACCTTTAAAGAATTTTACATTTTCAGAATGTTAATTTAACATTTTATTGGTGTTAAGTGAATATGCTAAAAAGGTTACCTGGACATTTCAAGAAATTTACCTTAACACCCTAAGAATGTTAAATTAACCAAATTAGCAGATTAGAACAAATATTCTTATTTTGTTCGTTTGAAACAATACAATTTGACATTTTTAGATGGTTAAGTAAACGTGCAAAAACCATTGCTTGTATTTAAAGTGCATAAAGAGTTGAATTAATATTTTTTTTGTTGTTTCAACAGCTTATTTTTTTCAGTGTACCACTAACAAGCACCCCTGATGAATTAAATACTTTTTAATATTTTTTTTAAGAAAAATTTTTTTTTATAAAAATACAAACATATACATAAGTTTTAATCATTCCCAAAACATAGAGGAACATTCTGATATATTAACAGGTATCATGTCTACACAAGTTTGCTAAAACTTTATCCACTCCTTACATTAAAGTAAACCGGTTTTTAGACAAATATTAATTTTTATTTTGCCATATCCAACTCAACGATATGTTAGTAGTTAACTTGCCTGGTTAACAACAAATATTTATTCTGCTCAGTATATTGTAGTTTAAAAACAAATAATTTTTGTGTTTTAAAGAACATAAGTTTCAATGCTACATTGTTTATAAATGTATAGTTTAAATTAGAAGATTTAACTACGTGAAAAAGTTGTACGAGGCTCGTTCGAAAACTTCTTAAAATAAAGCATAGATGTCGCTTGCAAGACCATTATGCTATTCTTAGAAGAAAAAACAATACATTCATGATTTTAAGCAGTACTAAAAAATGCAACGCACCATTTACAACAACAAATAACCATTTTTGGTGGTCAATTATTTATCAAAGACGTACGTCCACGACCGTAACAATGCGTAAAACAATGACATCAAACCCAACTACCACCACGTAAAATAACCATTCTGGACGCAGACTAATTTGGTAAATGCTCCTTCCTGTTCTTGTTCTGTTTTCTTAATGTCAACATCTCCCAGGGAATCCAAAACAAAATTTCAAACAATACCGGCCAATACTTAAAACTACAGATGGATCATTCTGTCATGTTACAGAGAAAATTTTGTTTTGGATTTTTTTTTGTTAGGGCATCGACAGCTAATGGTCATTACCTTGCAATATCACCTACTTCAAGCCTTTAAGAATAGGACGAACAATGTATGTGGGCTTTCCATGCCAAATCGGTCGCGATAAACGGACGTCTCTGATTTGCTTCACGTTTTGAGGGTATATAGTGGGACCTTAAATAATAATATAATAATCATAATAATTACGAAGATTTTCGAGTCGCCAGACGAGAGACTTAAATCATCGGATTGAATGATGCGCATAATCTCGAGTGTAATACTATACTTCAACTACTTCAATAAGATAATTAAATGATTTTCTAATATAAATAAAAATTTGACATAAATGACACATGACAAATGACACAAATTTGTCAAATGGTTAACCTCACTTTTTACCAATTTAATATGTTATTATAGTCGCCTTCTCCCAATTTAAAACCCGATTGGTTTAAATCAGAGTGTTTTTAGGCAGGGAGTTTATGTTTATCGTTATTTACAAAAAAAAAACTTATACATTATACAAGGTGTCCCTAAACTTAGTTCAGTTTTTTTAATATAACCTCTACTAGGGTAGTCTTGAAAAGGTGATATTTTGCGAACAGTCACTTACTACCAAAACACACATTCACACATAATTATAATTGTTTTGGTGAACCCAGTGTCGTAGAAACGGGGGTTGCTTTAAGCTTATTGTCCCATACAAACTTTGAGGTTAGGTTTTTATAACATTTTATGCAATTTTTAGATTACACAGTTCGGCTACCATTAAAAAGGTGTACCTTTGAAACTTCGATAAAATAAAACGTTTCCGAGATATTCGAGATTACAATAATTGTTATATCGCATTATTTAAAAGGATTAAAAGGTATATGGTAATAAGTTTTATTTTTTAATTAAAAAAACTAAAAAGGACTTTTTGCCCTGACCGTCACATTAAAAAAATTGTAGTTTTTTCAATTAATAAATTTGTTATCATATACCTCTTAGTCCTTTAATGAAATATAACAATTATTGTAATCTCGAATATATCGGAAACGGTTTATTTTATCGAAGTTTGAGAGGTACACCTTTTTAATAGTAGCCGAACTGAGTAATCGAAAAATTGCATTAAATGGTATAAAAACCTAACCTTAAAGTTTGTATGGGACAATAAGCTTAAGCAACCCCTGTTTCTACGACACTGTGTTCACTCAAACAATTGTAAGTATGTGTGAAAATGTGTTTTGGTAGTAAGTGACTGTTCGCAAAATATCAGCTTTCCAAGTCTACCTTAGTAGAAGTTATATTAAAAAAAACTTATATGATAAATAACATTTTATCACCCTGTATCTTTTAAACATAAGTAATTAGGAAAAATATAAATTTATGCCACTAAGTTTAGGGACACCTTGTATATTAGATAAATATATTTTTCTACTCCCACCTTTAAAACGCCCTTTATCGTACATGTTTCTATGACACTAAGTGACCTTTTAAATACACTTTGACATGTTGTGGTTTTACGGCGCTTTAGTCACGGGCTGAAGTTAGCAACAGGTTTTTAGTCACGGGCTGCAGTTAGTTTTAAGTTAGTTGACAGTTGTCAAATGTCATACAATCGTTAAAATAAAGTGCCTTTCTTGTAAAATAATACTAAATGTGAAAATTATTTTATTATCTCAATACAAAAATACAAAAATATTAAATAGTTTCTCAACGCCAATATTTGAAAAGTTTATATGAACATTTAGATTCATAACCTTTATAATTGTGTTTATAAAATGTAAAAAGTGACATTTGACAGTTTCCCCTGTTGTATCATAGATGGCGCTCTATACAAATTTTTGATTTAAATCATTTTAAGATAATAATAAGTATTACATCGTTTATAAACTTTTCTATACACTCATTAAGTTAAGCACTCACTCGCTCGCAAGCTCGCTCGTGCCTAAATTAAATGCGTGTATAAAATGGCGTTTATCAAACTTGATACCTACATAATATACTATTTTCTACGACCACTATGTAAAAGTCACATTTCGTAATGGCATCGTTGCTTAGAAAATGAATCTTATCATCTATGATGTAAAGTAACATTTCTGTGTGAAAAAAATTGACAGCATCGTTTGACATTCAGCTCGATTTCTTAGAATTTGCGTGATTTCAATAAAATTTGTATTGTATTTATAGGTATATGTATGTTTGTCTAAATATCATTTATAACACAATTAATTGTGTTTGTTTAATAAATTCTAGTTTTTAGTGTCTTTATTTAAATTGAGGAGGTAACTTTATTGATTTTAAATAACTTATACCTTAAAAATTAAAATAATAAAATGAAAGTAATTTTAACAGTTGTTAAACACGTTTTTAGGTTATTTTGTTTTGTATTTTAAAGTAATAAAAAAGGGTCGTAGACTTGTGAGAAAATATTTCTTCAAGCTAGTGTTAATGCACACTCGGCCTAACTTACACACTTGCATGAAAAATTCGCTTTTCAACACTAAGTGTTGTAAAACAAATAACTATTTCGCCGCTAAAACTGAATTTGAATTCTGTTTAGCACCTACATTAGGGTGTCCCCTATTTTTATTTTTTTTACGCATACCCTCTAATTATATTTATTACTTGTTTATATAGTCCCAGTAAAAATTTCAGCTCATTCTATAAACGGGAACCCGTGCCGACTTGCATCTTAACCCTCCGTTAGC